GGAGTGGATGTTGATCTAGTGACAAGTGTCCCTATGAGAGACACAAGAAGTCAGTAGTGCAAAGACAGAAGCAGAGGTATGGGAGTCCCAGAAGGGTATGGGAATCCCCTGCCCCGACCTGTTTTCCTCCTACCTCCTGTTTCCTGTTGTGGCCTCCCATAGGCTGAGCCAGCCAGATACCAGAGACATGGTTGGAGTGCCAGGCGCACACAGGTAGCTCGTGGGTGCAGAGCAGGGTGGAGGAGCAGGTCAGTTCTAGGGAGACTGACCACTAGAGAGTGACCAGCACCCAGGATGGCCTTAAAGCCAAGTGCTAACTAGTGTGTGACAAAGGTTGCCACTCAGGTGGAAAGAGGAGCACAGGGTGAAGTCTCCCCACCTTGTTCCCCCCATTCTTGTAAGCTAGGGCCACCGTGCATTTAGGAACAGTCCTCCGTGGGTGGAGGTAGGGAGGTCAGTTCCTTCTTCGACCCATGAGGGCACAGCTCATTTAGGGAGAGATTTATCATTTCCCTTTATGGATGAGGAGACCGAGACTCAGAGAGGGGAGTAACTCACAGGTGGTCATGGGGCTAGCTCGTAGGGCTGCCATCTGTAACACTTCAGTTACAGTAAGCACAGCCAAAGGTCTTGTCATTCAAAGATTTGTTAGGTTCCTGCCTTACCCCAGGCTCTTCAAGTGCATGATCCCATTTACACCTGTGCAAGCTACTGACTTTAAGAACTATGATCATGTCTATTTTACAGATGAAGAAAATGATGCCCAGAGAGGTTGAGTGACTTTCCCAAGGTTATGTAGCTGGAAAGTGGCAGAACCGGGACTTGAACCTAGGACCCTCTGACATTGGAGCTTGGGCTATTGCTTTCACTTTGGTCTCCAAGCATGGCATGCTGGAGTGAGGCCTGGGGTGAAGTGCCAAGCCCAGAGGGCATGAGAGAGATCGCCCAGCCTGCCTCCTTCCCAGGTCCTCTCTGCCCTGGGAATGGGCCTCACTCACATGTACACAGCTGCCAGGGATCAAAGTCCTCTCCAAGATGTATTTGCTGTGAGTTCTAAACAAACGGGTGTTGCCATGTAGCTAAGAGAAACACTGGAGGACACGGTGTCCAAATGCCAGCAGTCCTTTAAAGTCCTGTGATTGATCAGCCCCTCCCTGGTCTCCTGCTCTCAGGGGCCATGGTGGAGGGAGGGAGGAGGCTGCAGCTCGGGAGCGTGGAGGCAGGGCCGTGGGCCACTCAGGGGGCGCCTCCCGATACCCTGCCACCTCTCCGGCATCCATCTGTGCTGAGAGAATAGCCCTGCTGACCACGAGCCATAACCTCCAACACCCACACAAGTGACAAGCAAGTGCTGTCTGGAATGGTCACACGTGGAGCTCACGGGCACTGCCCTTTACGCCAAGCTACCCATTTGAGGGCACAGAGATGGCAACCAGGAGACCTAGGTCTGTTCAGCACTCAGCAAATGTGGATAGATGCAGGGCAGTGGGCGGTTACTGTGTGACCAAGGCACAGGCAGGAATAGGGGAGACTCAGCTGTTGCGGCACGGAGATGAGATCTTTATGGGGAGGGTCCCTCTGATTGTGTTAAAATTGGTTTGGGGGGTATTGCTCCGGCCTGCTGGCCGACAGACTGCTGACTGCCAGGATTGGTGTTTACATGACGGTTTCAAGACAGAGAGTGACACAAGAGAAACCAGGATATCTATGAATTGGGCTTTCTTTTTTCTTTGCTCTTCTATTCCAAAGGCTTGGAATG